AAATGAGATTATCAAATATAATGACACATTGTCATTCATACCAAATGTACTTAAATCTGTTTGCTTTTTGGCAAAACCAACATGTTTTCATTAACAGGCTGTTAATGAAAGGGGGAAATTTACATACCCCAGCTTTAATTCAGCGTTTCAGTTTAGTTTAGTTTCAGGAGGAGACACGGACACATCCGCGGTGTATTTGCGCGCACAGGTTACGCACAGGTTGCAAAGACACGAACACAACATGCAGACAATAGTTCTGTGGCGTGTTTGGTCTTATGACCATGTTACCGCGGCGCCACTCACTCACAGCCGTGTTGTTGTGAGCGGCTCACAGTCAGAGCGGCCATGGAGGAGGCGGACTTCAGTTCACAGCAAACAACAGCCCCGCGGTGGCGCGCGTATTCTTTTAAAACATGAATCCCCAGAGGGCCTTCCTGCTCTGATGCATCTCACACGCAGCATTCTGAGTGATATTAAGGATAAATGGGCGGGTCATTCGGACGTGCGTTAATGCGTAATTTTTTTTTTAACGCGTTAATGAAACATTTAATTAACGTGAGTTAACGCAATAATTTTGACAGCCCTACTAAAAATACTTATTTTTGTGCACTTTACTTTTCAAAAAGCCAATATTTGCATAGCTTACATTTGCATGTTTTTTTTGTTTAGGACCATGGCCATGTTTGTGAACAAAGGGATGGAAACATTTTTTCTTTTTTTATCCAATTAATCAAAGAAATAATCGACAGATTAATCGATTATTAAAATAATCGTTAGTTGCAGCCCTATAAAAAAAAATTAAATGTGAAATCCAACCAGATTTTTTTTCTTCTTAAGTTTACATCACGTCCGTTACACATTATTCAAGGGCCATTTAATTAATTAACGTTTTTATATCAAGTGATTTACTGATGTTGTGTTAACCAGGTTTATCTTGTGGGATTTCCACTTTTTCAGACTCAGGACATTTCCTTTTCTGGCGTCACAGTAGAATGGTCCAATCTGAGACTGATTTGGTCGTTTAAAATGTGTCTGTGTTTGAAATATTTTATCTAATCCATGATAGTTATTTTAGTTTTTAAGTTATAACCTTTTAAAGTCCAGATACTTTAATTGACACTTTACTGTGACCACACTCAACTGTGTCATTTCTCACTTCTTCCACCATCAATGTCAAACACATTATAATTATTTGACGTGTCTTTGTTGTGTTTGCTGCAGATCTACAAAGTCCATCTACAGAATGGGGTTCACCTGTGATCAGTGTGGAAAGACCTGCAGCTCTGCTTCTGATCTAAAGACCCACCACAGAACTCACACTGGAGGAAAACCATACGAGTGTGATCTGTGTGGAACATGTTTTACTACAAAAGAAGGTCTCAAGGTCCACAACAGAATCCACACTGGAGAAAAACCCTTCAGCTGTGACGATTGTGATCAGAGTTTTAGACAAGAGGGTACTCTCAAAGCTCATCAGAGGATCCACACAGGAGAGAAACCATTTGAGTGTGACCAGTGTGAAAAAACATTTAGGAGAAAATACCTGCTCACCGTACATCAGCATGTCCACACAGGAGAGAGACCTCACCAATGTGACCAGTGTGAAAAGACTTTTACACGTTTATCTCACCTCACTGAGCACTACAGAATCCACACTGGAGATAAACCATTCGTCTGTGGAGACTGTGGGAAGATTTTTACTCAGTCTTCACACTACAAAGATCATGAGAGAATCCACACTGGAGAAAAACCCTTCAGCTGTGACGATTGTGGTCAGAGTTTTTCTCAAAGTGGTAATCTCAAAGTTCATCAGAGAATCCACACTGGAGAGAAACCCTTCAGCTGTGACGATTGTGGTCAGAGTTTTTCTCAAAGTGGTTCTCTCAAAGTTCATCAGAGGATCCACACTGGAGAGAAACCATTTGTCTGTGAAAAGTGTGGAAAGTCTTTTACACTAAGGTCACATCTTCATCGACACATTAAAACCTGCAGAGAAGCAGGTCTGAAGCCTCTGGACCAAAGTGAAGGAGACAGAGCTGAGGCTGCATCCTGTGAGCCCAGAGTCAGACTCTACAGGATCTCACTTGAGTCCGTCCACAAGTGCTGAGACCACTGGAGGATATGTGTGCATCGTGTTTACTGTTTAATGTTGTTTATTGGACGTTCTGGAAATTCATTTATTGTTTTATTAATTGTTATTGTTTATTAAATATTCAAATGTGTTGTTTGTGAACAAATTAAAAGTTGACATTTTTCTTGCATCTGTCTTTGATTCTTTCTGTGCTGGATTCTTAGTTTTCCTCTTCTACACTTTCTGTGCTTCACCTTTTGTTTCATATCAAGGGTTCACTTGTGCAAAGGTGGATTTCATAAAGTTAGAACAGAGAAACCCTCTTCCTTTAAAGGAGATGAGACTGTTGACTTTGTCTTCTCATGTTTTAGAATGATAAATAACTGTATAATCACTCCCTATGGAGAGAGACCAGAGGGAGGCTTTTGTTCTAAGATGAGATCAGAGAACCTTATTGGTCCACAGTGGGGAAATGTCGGTGTTGCAGCGCACAGACAGAAGGGAGAGCACACAACACCGAGAGAAATATCTGTAAATGCTTCTTAATAAGAGCAATAAGTGTTTAAACCCACAGTAAAATGACTTCAGGCTCTAAAGGCTCACAGGTACGATCACAGGTACACTCACAGGTACGTTTACAGGTACGATCACAGGTACGCTCACAGGTACGTTCACAGGTACACTCACAGGTACGTTTACAGGTACGTTCACAGGTACGCTCACAGGTACGTTTACAGGTACGTTCACAGGTACGCTCACAGGTACGTTTACAGGTACGTTCACAGGTACGCTCACAGGTACGCTCACAGGTACACTCACAGGTACGTTTACAGGTACGATCACAGGTACGCTCACAGGTACGTTCACAGGTACGCTCACAGGTACGCTCACAGGTACGATCACAGGTACGCTCACAGGTACGCTCACAGGTACACTCACAGGTACACAGGTACGTCACAGGTACGCTCACAGGTACGTTCACAGGTACGCTCACAGGTACGATCACAGGTACGCTCACAGGTACGATCACAGGTACGCTCACAGGTACGCTCACAGGTACGCTCACAGGTACGTTCACAGGTACGTTCACAGGTACGATCACAGGTACGCTCACAGGTACACTCACAGGTACACTCACAGGTACGTTTACAGGTACGATCACAGGTACGATCACAGGTACGCTCACAGGTACACTCACAGGTACACTCACAGGTACGTTTACAGGTACGATCACAGGTACGCTCACAGGTACGTTCACAGGTACGCTCACAGGTACGTTCACAGGTACGCTCACAGGTACGCTCACAGGTACATTCAAAGGTACGTTTACAGGTTGTAGCTCAGAGCAGGAAACATCCTCTTTTTATTAAGACGAACACATTGGCAGACCCAAAGATGCAGGAAACAGTATTTATTAGTGATGGGTCCAGCAACACTGATACACCGGCGCATGTGCCGAGTTCGTTTGGCAAAACCTCGTATCGGCGCGCGTGTCGCTTTATGAAAAAGCCACATGACCGATACAGCCGCAGTGTCGCTTGTCCCGACACGGCAAACTGTGTTTAAAAGGTTCCGCATCTGCAAGTGTCACCGGTATGAACCGCTCTCAGAAAAAGAAAATAACCCTTTCAAAAAGGAAAAACATCCCATTTTACAGCATCAAAATGGAACCTGCAACTAAAAGAAAGTATTCTGCAGTGTGATACTGCAAATAACAGCAAATAAGGCAATGTTTGTATTTTACATTTCACGCTTTATCTACAATCAAGATTTAGTTTGAAACGGAAAATCTAGTTAGGCATGATGGATGAGTGGATAGCGCTCTCGCCTCGCGTTTAAAGAGAACCGGGTACGAATCCCTGTCGGACCTCAAAGGTTTATGTTGACATCACAGTCTTGAAAAATGATTTCGAGAAATTGAAGTGTAGAAAATGTCAAAGGTTTTTTCAAGTATACTTTAGTTGCCAGGGTTTACAGTGCACTTTGGACATGCTTATTGTTTTGAAAAATAAAAAAAATATAAAATCACTTAATGACATTTTACTATCACTTTAATTTTCACATAAAAAATAAAATAATAACACAGACAATGCAGTAACGTAATATTGTGTACAGACAAGTATGTAAAGCTCATTGAATCAGTGAGTTGCATGTAATGATTTATCAGATCCACCAGGCGTCAGTATAGAGCAGCACAAGCAACACTGTTGCGGCACAGTATCAATACAGTTCGTTGGATGTGCCGAAACGATACGTGAGGTTTCATTTACCCATCACTAGTGTGCAGTGAATGTGGTGTATAAAACAAAAGACAAACTCAAATGTGCAAAAAGGGAATGGGCGTGGTGGTTCAAGGTAGAGCCCACCAGGACAGGACCAAGCAGAGCAGCACAGGAGAGAAGTGAGCAGCTCTCAGCTCCCAGGTGAAGAGACCCACTGATGAGGGGCGTGGCATGGTGCAGGTGTGGACCTGCACATAGGAGGAGACGGCAGAGAAGGCAGACAAACCCCAGACAGCTCCCTCTCCTGGACAGAAAGGGCCTGGCCCGTAACAGTAAGTTGCAAACAGTAATGATGCAGTATGGCTGCCGTGGCTGCTAGTCACGTGACCGTAGGATCCCTCTATACAAAACTGAACATGACTGATGTTAAAGTGCATATGACAGATACAATAAATCATTTGATTTCCCTCTCATATAATTCCTTCATCCCCATGAAAATGATAAAAGTTCTCATTAAATAATAAATTACACAATTTGTTTGTAAAATACCTCAAATAGACATCTATTTGTGATACTTCCGCAAAATCCTTAGTCACGTGACGTGACGTAGCGTAAGGGAGTTTGAACTTGCCTCACTCTAGTTATTGCTATCACCCCTAGTAGCTGGTATCGGATTTTCTGTCAATTTGTCGTTTATTTTAGTGAATATGGTGAACTATTGTGTGTGTGGAGGGTGCACGAATTCTTCATCTTCCGGATTCAGGGTACATTATTTTCCCAAAGGAAAAAAAAAGTCTTCTCTTTTCCGTGCCTGGGTGAATTTTGTACAGACGAAGAGGAAGGACTTTACCGCGGCCTCTGTGACCACGAGCTCTGTCATCTGTGAAGCCCATTTCAAGAAAGAGGACTATCTAAGTGGAGATCTGATGGAAATGGAGATGGGCTTCAAAAGTCGAAACAATGTGAGGCTGACGGAAGGAGCCGTGCCCAGTGTACAGTCTTTATCTTTGTCTGCTGCTAGCGCGGCTGCTAGTGCGGCTGCTAGCGGGGGTGCTAGTGGGGGTGCTAGCGGGGGTGCTAGTGCGGCTGCTAGCGGGGGTGCTAGCGGGGGTGCTAGTGCGGCTGCTAGCGGGGGTGTGCGGCTGCTAGCAGGGGTGCTAGCGGGGGTGCTAGTGCGGCTGCTAGCGGGGGTGCTAATGGGGGTGCTAGTGCGGCTGCTAGCGGGGGTGCTAGTGGGGGTGCTAGTGCGGCTGCTAGCGGGGGTGCTAGTGGGGGTGCTAGTGCGGCTGCTAGCGGGGGTGCTAGTGCTAACGCGGGTAATGTAGGTGCTGGTACAGAAAGATCTTCATCAGCTTCAACAAAACGCTGGTTATTTTCAGTAAGTAACAGTTACCGTTGTTTCTATTTAAATGTATTAGCTACATAAGCGCTATTGTGTTGGATACATATGTTAGCTACTCGAGTTCAACTAGCAAGCATATAGCATAAGCTAGCATTATGTGAATGAATGTACTGCATGTTTGTAACACGTTTCAACAAATTAACTTGTGTAAACAAAATTTCCAATACTAAACCATAATTTTCTATTTGTATCTGTGTTAGTCATTTAAAATCCATTGTGTTTAAAAACGTCACAGTTGAACTCGTAAGTTACTGAAGTGGTGGGACTAATTTGTCAGCTGGTATTACGCTCTGTATAATACACTTGCATTCTGTTGTTCGTGTTGTTCGTGCTGTCTCTACCATCGACAATAAAACATGTCTTCTGTCTGAATGAAAGACGCAATCCCAGACTATGTCATCTTCTTCAACCGCTAAAGTTATTTGACAGCTCCGTAAAGTCTCCAAAGGACCCATAAAAGGACCTCTCGGCGCACATGGCCGCCCTCGCGCCCGCCTGTTTACAAATTGTTGAAAATTTGCCATGTACTAGTCATAATGTACTTTTGAACAAAAAGTCAGAGGTCCATTTCAGCGAGAATTCTGCCAATTGTCTGAAAATTCTTTATATATATATATATATATATATATAATTATATTTTTAATGTAAAAATCGGTGCATCCCTAAAAATTAGGGCTGTCAAACGATTATTTTTTTTTAGTTGATTAATCGCACAGAAATGGTGAGTTAACTCACGATTAATCGCATTTTTAACATTCTATTTCAAATCCACTCCAATTAAAGTTAAATGAGATTATCAAATATAATGACACATTGTCATTCATACCAAATGTACTTAAATCTGTTTGCTTTTTGGCAAAACCAACATGTTTTCATTAACAGGCTGTTAATGAAAGGGGGAAATTTACATACCCCAGCTTTAATTCAGCGTTTCAGTTTAGTTTAGTTTCAGGAGGAGACACGGACACATCCGCGGTGTATTTGCGCGCACAGGTTACGCACAGGTTGCAAAGACACGAACACAACATGCAGACAATAGTTCTGTGGCGTGTTTGGTCTTATGACCATGTTACCGCGGCGCCACTCACTCACAGCCGTGTTGTTGTGAGCGGCTCACAGTCAGAGCGGCCATGGAGGAGGCGGACTTCAGTTCACAGCAAACAACAGCCCCGCGGTGGCGCGCGTATTCTTTTAAAACATGAATCCCCAGAGGGCCTACCTGCTCTGATGCATCTCACATGCAGCATTCTGAGTGATATTAAGGATAAATGGGCGGGTCATTCGGACGTGCGTTAATGCGTAAATTTTTTTTTAACGCGTTAATGAAACATTTAATTAACGTGAGTTAACGCAATAATTTTGACAGCCCTACTAAAAATACTTATTTTTGTGCACTTTACTTTTCAAAAAGCCAATATTTGCATAGCTTACATTTGCATGTTTTTTTTGTTTAGGTCCATGGCCATGTTTGTGAACAAAGGGATGGAAACATTTTTTTTTTTATCCAATTAATCAAAGAAATAATCGACAGATTAATCGATTATTAAAATAATCGTTAGTTGCAGCCCTATAAAAAAAAAAAAAATGTGAAATCCAACCAGATTTTTTTTCTTCTTAAGTTTACATCACGTCCGTTACACATTATTCAAGGGCCATTTAATTAATTAACGTTTTTATATCAAGTGATTTACTGATGTTGTGTTAACCAGGTTTATCTTGTGGGATTTCCACTTTTTCAGACTCAGGACATTTCCTTTTCTGGCGTCACAGTAGAATGGTCCAATCTGAGACTGATTTGGTCGTTTAAAATGTGTCTGTGTTTGAAATATTTTATCTAATCCATGATAGTTATTTTAGTTTTTAAGTTATAACCTTTTAAAGTCCAGATACTTTAATTGACACTTTACTGTGACCACACTCAACTGTGTCATTTCTCACTTCTTCCACCATCAATGTCAAACACATTATAATTATTTGACGTGTCTTTGTTGTGTTTGCTGCAGATCTACAAAGTCCATCTACAGAATGGGGTTCACCTGTGATCAGTGTGGAAAGACCTGCAGCTCTGCTTCTGATCTAAAGACCCACCACAGAACTCACACTGGAGGAAAACCATACGAGTGTGATCTGTGTGGAACATGTTTTACTACAAAAGAAGGTCTCAAGGTCCACAACAGAATCCACACTGGAGAAAAACCCTTCAGCTGTGACGATTGTGATCAGAGTTTTAGACAAGAGGGTACTCTCAAAGCTCATCAGAGGATCCACACAGGAGAGAAACCATTTGAGTGTGACCAGTGTGAAAAAACATTTAGGAGAAAATACCTGCTCACCGTACATCAGCATGTCCACGTTTGACTTTCGAGTCCTCTCGAGTCTTTTGACCGCGATTTGGTTTCTTGTTGGTCTCCCACGTACTTGTTGTAGCAAACAAAAAATTGTTTAGTAATCATTTAGCGTGTGCATTCCCGTCGTTGGTCCTCTGACCCATGGACTAACAGTTTGTTCCATGTGTTGGCTGCTTTATATCAAAACTATGTTGTCCAGATGCAGCCAGTTACACATGCACAAACCACACTAAATCAGAGCATCCCGTGTCCCACATACTTTTATCTTTGGGGTTTTTAATGAAGTACAAGTGCACATATATGAATATGATATTGGGCTAGTACATGTATCTATATAATCAGTTTTAATGTCCCTATTGGTTCTTGTTCCAAAGGACGGATGAAGGGACCAATGGAGGAAGAATCCTGGCCTGTATGACTGGGCCAGCATTATAATATCTCATAATTACCAATAGAGCCCTCCCCCTGTCCCCCATTGGGGTTGACAGGGCATGGAGGTAAAGATGATTCCTCCTCATACCATTGTACATATTATTGTATATATTCTCCTGGTATAGTGATTTACAAATTTATATTATTTACAGGTGGTGCATCGAGAGGCAGTTGCTGTGCACAAAAAAGGTAAAAGAACTACTATTTCTATTCTTGTACATCCCATGGCAATATAATATAATAATAATAATATAGTATACTGTGTTTGGTCCAAAAGTAGTCAGTCAATAATGTGGGAGGAAGGCCTTCATTGTATTTTATGTATTGATTTATTGTAACAAATTCACTGTATAATATATTTATTGTGTGTATCCAATTTCCAGCACGTTCGTCACCCAGACGCTCTGGGGAAGATGGCTGACAGGAGGATGAGTGGGAGCCGAGTCAGTTGCCCTTCACAGGAGCTCCTGGACCTCAGAGACTGCGGACAGAGGCTGCGAAGCTGGATTCATCTGATCCAGCTGACTTTCTGGAGCTGGGTTCATCTGATCCAGACTTTCTGGAGCTGGATTCATCTGATCCAGACTTTCTGGAGCTGGATTCATCTGATCCAGACTTTCTGGAGCTGGAGCTCTTCTTCACGGAGGGAGAACTACAAATGTCACATCGTGTCGTGTTCCGTTGCACACAGTGTTTCAACCTCTACAACTCAAAGCTGAACTACTGGGAGGACTGAAAAAGCAGATAAACTCACTCATACACACACTCACGAACACTCACACGCACTCACTCACTCACTCACGCACACAGACACTCACTCGCACACTGACATTCACACACACAGACACTCACTCACACAGACACTCACTCGCACACTGACATTCACACATTCACATGCTTCATTCTATTTTATACATCTATAGTTTTATTGATCTTTGTGTTGTAGTTGTTTGACGTTTTGGTTGATGGTATAGAAGAAAGTTAAAATTTCTATCTGTGAAGAAATTGCCAACAATTTGCCATCAAAAGTATTATTTCAGAGTCATGTTTTTATAATTTTTGTAATGGAACAAGTGTGAAGATGTTTTGAGTTGTCACTAAAGCAGCAAAAATGCATCTAAAAGTCTCTTTTCTGCTTGATATGTTCCTGTTTACATACAGCTCCTTTTCTCTGTTTTCTTGCTCAGACCAGGTGTTGTGGGTGAAAGTATGCTTTGTTCTATGGCGAATAGCTCAAGAACGGTAAGAGGTAGAAACGAACTGTTTTTTCAGAGTAAAGCAGAGAGGTTAATCTTTAATTTGGTGCCCTTGGTGTTTACATCGTCTAAAAAATGAATATTCTGTGGCACTTCAAAGTTGGGTCAAATCACCTGAAATTGCTGGCAGAACGCACTTCTCAAATCTGAAAATGCCTGGCAGTCAGTGAGTTAAACACAGAGCAATACAGATACATCAATACACAAAAACTCTTTAAAAAAATGGGTGTATAATGAGAGCTAAATAGTACAAAATAGAACCAGTTGTAAGCAGAGCTAAACAGATATGGAACCTAGTTTTGAACATGGTAGAGGTCTGTCTCACAGCCTTAGGAAAACTGTTCCATATTTCTGTTGCATGGATATGAAATGCTGCCTCCTCGTGTTTCGTCCTGACTCTGGACACCAGCAGAAGGCCACTCCCAGCTCTTCTGAGAGTCGCTTTATATAGCACAAGCAAAGCTGCTTTAAAGTCTCGAGGCCAGTTCAGGTCCAAAGATCACACTTGGGTTTATAACCGGTTTCAAGAAGGGGGATTGAAGAGGACTTGACACATTTTCTGTTGTGTCCAAAGATAATGACTTCAGTTTTATCTGAATTTAGTTGAAGAAAATAGTTTTGCATCCATGCACGAATTTCTTGGATGCAGTGACAGAGTGAGTCCACCGGACCATACTGTATTTGCGGGCTGTCAGTGATATATTGATTTGAGTATGTCTGGTTGTGGTTTGATAATATAAAGTAGAATATTAGGAGAGATTCTTGATTTGAACCGTTCGTTTTCAACTACTGGACACTTGATTCAAACCAGAACAGCCTAATGAATTAGACAAGAGAAAAAGATGCAGGTAGGTGAATATTTTTAGTGGAAGGGAAAACTGGAGAAG